GGTCCCTGTGCCCCGTCCTTGCAGGGCCCCCAGTGCCACCCTGGGGGTGCCCTGGGGGGCTCCGGGGGTGCCACAGCAGGCACGGGAATGCTGAGTCCGCAGGAGCGTGGCCGGAGGGTCTTGCACGAGGTCCCGGTGCCGCTGCGCTCAGCGGGATTCCCGGCGGCGGCCCTTGCACCCGCCCCGGACACACCGGCCGCTGCCGGTCACCGCGGGTCACCGCGGGCCACCGGCCACCGCCAGGGGCCACCCGGGCCAGCAGGAGTCACCGCGGGCCACCCCGGGTCGGTCACCGCGGGCCACCGGCCGCCGAGAGCCTCTCCGGGCCACTGCCGGTCACTGCGAGCCGCTCCCGGTGCTCCGCCGGGAGGGTCCGGCGGCGGGAGCCCCCCGGGGCCGCCCCCGGCCCGCGGGCGGCGGTGGCGGCGCGGAGGAGCCGCGGCGGTGCTCGGGGGTCCCGCGCCCCCCGCTCAGCCGTAGCTGTGGGGGCTGTTGGGGTTCATGGGGGACGAGTCGCGGCGCCCCGAGTGTCCCCGCAGCTGCCACAGGCGGTGGCTCAGGTTCTGCACCTGGCAGGTGCCCAGCACGCAGCCCACCCGCACCAGGTGCCCCCCGGCGTGGCGGCGGCCCCGGGGCGGCCGCGGGTCCCGCCGGGGGTCCCGCCGGGGGTCCCGCCGCAGGAGGAGGCGCCGGACGTGCCACGGCGGGGGCCGGGGGGCGAGCCACGGGCCGTGCCGCGGACCCGCGGCTCGGTGTCGCAGGGTCCCGATGGGCTGCGCGGCCGGGGGGTCTCCGGGGAGAGCGGGGATCCCCTCCGGGGGGCTCCGCGCCGGGGGGGCCCTGCAGGAGAGAAGGGACGGGGTCAGGGGGATAGCACAACTGCGGCTCCCGGGCACGGCGGCGGCACCGCGACAGCGGCGGGGGCACGGGGGCACCTCCCGAGGCCGGAGCCGGCGCTTGCCCCGGGCTTCCGGAGGAGGAGGAGGAGGAGGAGGAGGAGGAGGAGGAGGAGGAGGAAGCAGGCGGAGCAGGGCAGCAGCCGCTACCTGCAGGCACACACGTACCCGAGCGCACGGACGCGTGTCCCGCACCCACGGCACCCCCGGAGCCCCCCCGGCTCCCCCCGCTCCGCCCACCCCGTTCCCACGGCCTCTGCCCCGGCACCCACGCGCCCCGGCTGCGGCGCCCACGCCCGTGCCCCGGGCACCCGCGAGGGGGTCCGGCCTCAGGGCACGGAGCTCCCCGGGGCCTCAGTGCCCCCGTCCCGGGGCCACCTTTTCCTCAGGGGACCCCTCCTGAGCTCCCGGGAACCTGGAGCTTTGGTCCCGTTCTTAGTGCCGTCCTTCTCTTTTCCCTTTTTTTAATATTTTCTCCCCATTTTGACCCTCGCCCCGTGCCCCAGAGGACCCCACCGCCAGCCCAGCGCCGGCAGGAGCTGCCCGGGCCCTGCGGGGTCGGGGTGCCCCGGTGCCCCGCAGCCCGGCGGGGATCCCCGGGCGCGGGGCCGGCCCAGACGCGCTCCCCGAGCAGGGACACGCACACGCACGTGCGGTGTGTGCACACTCACACACTCACACGGCGGGG